TATATATATATATATATATATATATATATTTATATATATATATAATATACTATATGCATTATTTCCGCCTCTAGGCTGGCGTAGAACCCTGAATCCATTTTGGTCCCACGGGCGAAGAAACAAAAGCCTGCTCGATTTCTTTCCTTCAAATCTTTCCTGCGAGCTTGCAATCCCTCTTCTTGTATTCAGCGGGTTTGAGGAAGTTCTTTTATTTCTAGGGTTTTGGTCCGATCAGTCGGTGGTGACCGCGGTGGCGGCTGTGGCGAGATCCTCTGGATTTTTGTGATCATGAGTGCGGTAAATATAACGAACGTCACGGTGCTGGATAATCCGACGGCGTTCCTTAGCCCGTTCCAGTTCGAGATATCTTACGAGTGCTTGGTTCCTCTGGAAGATGGTATGGTTCTCGACCGAAAAAAGAAAAACCTTAGACTTGAACAGGGGAATGAAAGATCCTACCTTGACTGTGGCTTCATTACAAGTTTTGGCTTCGATGCTTCTTTTGGTATCATACTGTTGTTTGTCATGGATTGACGAATGAACTCTTTGATGTCCTTTGGTTTTTCATGTTTCTTTTTTGTTTTCTCTGGGTTCAAAGTGAAGGATGATTAGGGTTTATAGAAAGAGCTTCACTTGAAACCGTATAATGGGTGTTGTAGTTGAACTTTGAGATTTAGCTGATGCTGAATGTGGAAATGGAGTGAGAAGAAAGAGGGAGGAGAATCTAGGTATTTTATTTCGCTGTATGTATATTGCAGAGTTCCCAACTTTGTTGTTTTTCTTAGATTTACAGTGATTTCCGGATGTGACACAAGAGGGCAAGGTAGGAAGGAGGTGTTGGTATATCAATGATAAAGGAACGTGTAAATTATTTTCTTGTTAATGCAATTAAGGAATCATGAAGATATTATGCTTCACAGAGGTCAATTGTTATCATGCATTCCAAGCATGATTTTGACATATTACGTAACTATTCCTATCGTCAAGCGGTCATTTCCTTATTTTACATTTTTCTTTAAAAAAATCCTCCTAATGTATGGAGCCATGAGATGTTTTTCTCAGATTATTGTATTGGTTTAAAAATATCTTTTAGTGCATGGTTATGTGGTGGCTCTTATAGGTTAGAGCAAAATACCTACTCTGGATACTAGTAGGTTTTATATGCATGGTAAAATTTCAACTTCATTATGGTGGTGTTCAGATTTCCCCCTATTCCTAAATTAAGCTTGTAAGATAGAATTGATAGGTACTTTGTACAAAACTTACAGGAAACTGAAAAACACACCTAAGAAGGCTCCTGCTGTTTGATGTGTGTGATTAGATGTTGTGAATAAGTTTAAGCTATAACCAACAAACCAACATAGGCTATGATAAGAAACTTTATCCCATCTTTGTGTGCCATTAATGCATCCTACTAGAGTTTCTTTTTTATGTCTGAATCAGTGGACTTCAAGCTTTCAAAACAAAAGAATGATGGTTTGATGCATCAAACTCTGCCAATGCATCATTTAGCAGGGAGGGTCAACATGCAACGTCATTAATGCAATTATGCAAGTAGGGATGTTATTTTCATGACTTAAGCTCTGGTCACTTAAGTCGTAAATGAGTAACATCACCATAATGCCAAAGCTTGCCCTCTCAAATACATTTGAAGCTTTTGACATAATGCAATCAACAAAACCATTGTTTTAATATATATCACCGGGAGTTGAAAGAGTGAAGGTTTGTTAGTCTCATTATGCTTTTCTAACAGTTTGCACTTTGTCTACCGTTATTATAAGGTCCTGTTGTACTTTCCGTACCACATGAACCCTTTGCATATTCATACTAACAAACGAGCTTATTGAACATAAGATTGAAGCAGAACACATGACATTAGAGAAAGATTTTGGTGAGATCATGTTGTCGTTGAATGGTAAATAAGAAACTCAACAATAATTATATTTTACGCATTAAAATATCAAATTGATTCAGTTTGACTTTTGTTATACAGTTTAAAGTACATTAGTCATATGGTTCAATCGTTCTGATACTATATTGATAGTTTATAATTAACATCAATAGTTATGAGTAAGAGTAACCATCTAGTTGTTATCAATTTCTATAGCTTGCAAGGTGCTAGATAAAAGTTTCTTACTATTTTGGAGTTCAAAATTATTGTAGGTCAGAAAATTGCATTCTGGTAGTGGTTGTGGACAATCTGACATATATTATCTGAATTAAACACTGCTAATTATTGTTATTTTTCTCACTATTCGGTGATGGAATTCAGATTAGTTTCTTATTTTTCTCACATGTTGTCAATGACTAGTTATTTACTTGTCTATCATGTTCAGAATCAATAGTTTTGTCAATCTCTGCCTCGATTACCTGATTATATCAATTGTGCCATGTTCTACACCTAGTTGCTCAAGTAGTCTGAGTGGTATTTATCCATTGATCCCAAGATTCTGAGTGACTTTTGTTTCACAACTAATAGTGACTGACAGAATTGGCTTGGCTCCCCTTCTAAGAAAAGTTGAATGTGGCATTGATCATGGTCATTAACGCCTTGGTGACTATTGCAATAAAAAAAATGGCCATGGTGACCTTTTCAATAGGAAATTGGTGCCACATGGATACAGGCACAAGCCCCAGCTAGTGGAAAGTCTGTGATCAATTCAGTTTTGATGGTCAGTGCAGCAGTTCAGGTTGCATAACATAGAATGAAAGCGGTCTTGGGAACCCTTCAATGTGGTGATTCTTAATAAAATGGGTAGCTAAGATGTGAACATTTGTGTTAGTGACTTTTCCAAAAGCTAAAGTTTTGGTAATTTCTAGCATTCTTGATCAAGCATGTCGTTATTTTAATATCAATCTTCGTATCTTGAGTGGGTGTTGTATACGCACTTTACTTCTGATATCCTGATTTTTTTTTTCCTTAGCATCAGCATTAATAATTAGTTTCTTGCTCAACTCTTCAGATTTGGAGTGGAAACTCATATACGTTGGATCAGCAGAAGATGAAACTTATGACCAGCTGCTTGAGAGTGTGCTTGTTGGTCCTGTCAATGTTGGCAATTATCGCTTTGTTTTCCAGGCAATTTCTGAGACTGAACTAAAAGTAGAGTGGTTCGTGCACATGATTTAAGAAAGTGACTTACTCCTTGTATTCCAACTTTCAGGCAGATCCACCAGATCCAACCAAGATTCGTGAAGAAGACATCATAGGCGTCACCGTGCTACTGTTGACATGCTCCTACATGGGGCAGGAGTTCATCAGAGTGGGCTACTACGTGAACAACGACTACGATGATGAGCAGCTCAGAGAAGAACCTCCTCCGACAGTTTTGATCGACAGAGTTCAGCGGAATATCTTGGCCGACAAGCCTCGTGTGACAAAATTTCCCATCAACTTCCATCCTGACCCTAGCGAAAACGGAGGGCAGCAACAGCAGCCGCCTGTGTCACCCGAAAACCGTACCGGCGAGGAACCACAGTCTGTCCAGCAACCGAAGTGTTAGTTTCATGTGTGTAGATTGTCAACAGCTTCAAGGTGTAGTCATCTGGCCGATGTAATTGGCTCACCTGAGAGTGTCTGTGTACCATCAAATGGTTTTTGTGGATGGCTATGGTTCTTGTGGCTGATGGAACTCGGATTAAGCTCTTGACTCGAGCCACGTTTCTAATGTGATTTGAGGAGATGCCTGCAGCCGTGGAAGAAGCTGCTCATTTTGTATCCTGATCTGTACTGTATTTATTATGCAAATTATGGTCTTCTCTGATTTTGATCAGATCCCAGTTCGTATTGACAGATTCATCCGACCACTTTGACTTGTGTGGCAGTGAATTGTATACGATCAGCTTACTCTCACGCAACCATGTTTTGTCTTGGAAAACTTGGAAGTCAATGCAATCTTATCTTCATATATATATATATATATATATATATGATTTATTGATAAATGATTTTGTTCATGACTATATTCATATCATGCGTTTATTAGCAATGAAATTGAATATTTTAGAAAGTTTGATCTGTTTAAATTAGATCAGACTAATTATATATTATTTTCTATAATTAGTTATCTTTAGTATTTCGATTTATTTTTAAAATAATATTGAGTTATTTATTTATTTTTAATTTTATATAAAGATACTAATATTTTTTTTATGAGTATAAAAAATTTAATATAATTTTTAAAATTATAAAAATTAAAATACTAAAGATAGGGATAATATGTAATTAGTCAAACCTTGTCACACCACTTGCCACGTGTTTTTCTGCATGCCAGCCGGTCAGACTGCATTCCCCCCACACGTTTCATCATCCCTACCCTTTCCTCCGCCACCTTCCCCTCCTAATAAGACACTCTCCTCAGCCCCCGGCTGGAGAATAAGGTATTTTCCACCAGCTTCCATGGCGGAGTGGCAGCCAGCCGGCCCATGGACAGTGTCGACGCGCCACCAGTGGTCCGCCCCCTTCACCACCTCCGGCGGGCCAAGCCTCCTCCGCCGGCTCCAGGGCCACGCACCCAGCTCCAACCAGGTCGTCGGCTTCCTCACCCTCGTCATCTCCGGCTGCATCCTCCTCGTCCTCGCCGGCCTCACCCTCGCCGGCGCCGTCCTGGGCCTCACCTTCTTCGGCCCCATCGTCCTCTTGACGAG